TTGTTGTTGTTGTTGTTTGTTGTTGTTGTTGTTGTTGTTGTTATTGTTGCAATTGCCAATAGTGTTGTTGTTACTGCCGCTGTTTTTGTTGGTATTGTTGTGGGGGTTGTTACCTGGTTTCTTTTCTCGTTTTTTGCGCCTAAGTCTGGCTTTTTCCTCGTTTTTTTCCTGGAGACGGCGGGAATGTTATTTGGCGTCATATTCTGTCCAGTCACGCTTCCATACTTTTTTATTTTCCAAGATTCGCCAGCTGGGGGCTGGTTCGTCAATTGTGTAATTCTTGGAAATGATGACGGCTGGTGTTGAAAGAGATTTTGCCATTTCTTCTATGTGAGATTTTATTTCACATGCTAGAGTACTTTGGGAGTCCGCTAACTCATTCTTGAGTGTGGAAATTATTGCAGGTAGTTGGTTAATTGAGTGCGTTGTTGTTGTTGTTATTGCCGCTACTGCTGCTGTTGCCGCTGATTTGGCTGCCGCTTTTACAGCTGTGCAGGTGTCCGCCGAAGGTGTGTCCAGAATTGATGAAATTGCATTTTTCATTTCAACAGCAATAAGTTTGTTGCTGCTGGTGACGGTCGACATGCTACGCTTAATATTGTCAAGCATTTCTTCAATGTGTTCAAGCACTGCGTCATGCGTCGCACTGAGGTTTTTGAAGTTAGTAAGCAATTTTTGATTTGCTTCCAAAGTATTGCCAATGTTTTCTTTGATGCCATTCAATGTTGTAGACAGTTCCTTCAGTCCTTCGGACTAAAGCTATCTACAATGACCATAAATGCGGAATTTTAGAGAGACTTCTTCCATAATAACACTGCCGGCCAGTGGGGGTTAGAGGGAATACACACACACACATATTCAATCAGATGCAAAGTGTCTATGTAAACCATGTGCGACCTATTCACAAGTATTTCAAATGTTCTGGGTTTTCCAAATCGTCCTGGAGTTCAGATAATTTGATCTACTAGATCAACCAAGACTAGAATATTGTGAGTAGATGATAACTTGGCTCTGTAAAGTTTATTCGATTGAGCCTGTACAAATAAATTGATTTACAAAAAAAAAGTAGCATAATGTCTGTAGTAACGAAATACTTCCAAACAGATTCGCGATGATTATGTGGATCATACTTATTGCCATGTATACCAGATGCTCTAGGTTCTCCAAATCTTCCTGCGGTTCAGATGATTTATACTACTAAGGATTGTACTCGCAAAAAATGCAACACTTCCTTTTGTGTAAAACTTTTTATTGCATGAGTAAAAATTGATGAAATTTTGAGTAAACTTAGTTTAGAGTGTATTGTTTTCATGTGCAAAATTTCGTCACAATCTGTCAAGTGCTTATCGAGATGGCTTCCAAGCAAGAAGTGCTTGGACAAAAAATTACCGCAGCGGTCGTGGAAAATCCAGACCAGTCCCACAGGTGGATCGCGAAACAGTTTGGACTTGACAATTCGACCGTGTCCCATGTGGTATAATCGTTCAAGAAGACCCAGACGACGCAGCGGAAGACAAGCGAAGACGACCGACCCCGCGAACGCAAGGAAGGTGAGGGATAACTTCAAGCGCAATCCGAACCAGGCATGGAAAATCATTTGCATTCATTTCGTGCATTCATTTACATTCATTTGCCCCTAACTTTTTTATCAAGAGAATTCCGCAAAATAATGTATTAAGCTTTTGTAGGTTTTGATATTAGCTACAACTTTTGTTAACAACTCAAATTCATATCTCTTATGCATGACGAACCAGAGCGAACAGAATCCACTACTGTTTTTCAGTGAATGTATTTTACATTCACTGAAAAACAGTAAAAAGTTCTGCCCGCTCTAATTCGTAATGCATAAGAGATACAGATTTGAGTTATGGGCAAAAGTTGCAGCTAATAACAAAACCTACTAAAGCTCTACAAATCATTTTGCAGAATGCTGTTGATGACAAAAGTTAGAAGCAAATGAATGTAAATGATTTCCCATGCCTGATCCGAAGCTTTCGATTCGGGACGTGGCCAAGAAGGTCAATTCTTCCGTCTGATTCGTCCAGCAGACAATGAAGCGGGCCGAACTTCAAGTCTTCAAGGTTAGGAAGGCCCAACCGAATCGATAGACATAATACGGTGGCCAAATCCCGCGCCAGGAAGCTGTACCGCGAGTGGTTGGTGCAGCCGACATGCATCCGTAATGAACGACGAGAGGTACATTAAAGCGGACGCCAAGCAGATCCCCGGCCTGGAGTTTTGAAATCTATGTTAGGGAAATCGCTTTTCGCAGGTAATCGGTGATAATTTTAATTTTCATAGTAACAGTTACACATTCGTGCAATATTCAATAGTGACATTTTGAAAAATGATAAAGTCTTTAAAGTGTAGAAATATTTCTGATCCATTGGTGATAAAATTATTGAAATTGGTCCAGGGGCAACTGAGTTGTTAACGTACAAAATCTTCCATAATTTTGTTACAAGTTCCATTTTCGGTTTTCACGTGTCAGTTTTCGGTTTTCAAGTGTACCCCGATATAGAAATCACAGACGTAGTCCTGCGTCAAAAAAACTGAGCTTCTGCGAAGTTTCCTGAACTTCCTCCAAGTTCCATTTTTCAAGCTCTCTTAATTCTACCACGATCTCAACACATCCATGAACTATTCCAAACTTCCGGGAAGAAATTGAACTCTCGAAACTTCATTAAAAATTGAAATAAGTTCACTGACAAACTACTACGAAGATCCCTGAAGTTTTAGCAGTTTGCTGAACTTCTAAGATACTCCCTCATCTTCTACGAAATTGCCAGAACTTGTTCACAATGCACAGCACATCAATCAAGTTTTACGGAGTTTCTCGAATCGCTACGTAATTCGCCAACATTGTACCAAGTTTTCTGAACGTTTAAGTATTTCGTTGATTTACTAAGAAGTTCCCCAACCTTGTACAAAGCTCCCACTTCTACGAAGATTTACCGCTTTATTACAAATGTCCCTAAATTCTCTGAAGTTTAACGAAGTGCAGCGAATTAAAAGAAAAATCCTGAAATTCGACGATCTCCCCTGAACATTGACAAAGTTCCTGCAGTTCAATGTTTTTATTTTTACAAAGTTTGATGAAGTTCTACAAAGTTTCCTGAACTTCTAAAAAAAATGCTGTAGTTCTGCAAAACTATCTGCACTTCTACGAAGTTCGCTGCAGTTTTTGAAAATGTCTTAAGCGTCTACGCAGTTTCCTAAAGTTGTACGAGATACCCTGAAGATTTACGATTTTAGTATTAAAAAAAAATCCGGAATTTCGACGATGTCCCAGGTAAAAAGTGAGGTTACACGACGCTACTGATAGATTTAAAGAAAAATCCCAAAACTTCAACGAAGTTGTTCTCGTTTCTAAAAGATTCACACCATATCTCAGAAGTTTACTAAATTTCTAACAAGTTTGATAAAAATCTACAAAATTTACCGAACTTCTAAAAAAACTCTGCACTTGTACGAAGTTCACTGAGCATCTACTAAGTTCGCATCTTTCATTTCATTTCATTATTTCATTCTGCAGTTCTAGAAAGATTCGAGACCTGCTACACAGTTCCCTGAACTTCTATGAAGTTTTCCAAATTACCCTTAAGATCTACGAGGTTCCTTGAAGCTCAGCAACGTTCCATGAACTTTAATGAAGTTCTTTGAAATCACTGGGTGACCATTGAATTTAAGGAAATAATTTCCCAGTTTTTACCGGGTGTTTAAAATATTCTTCCGGTTTCATATAAACAGGTAATTATGGTAAAAAGGGAATACCGCCAGGAATTCAGCAATGTATGTCCGTGCAGCAATTCATGTAACCAGAGAAAACTCACTAAATTTTCAGAATTTTGGAATTTGATTAGGTAGATCGCAACAAAAGTATAAAATTGAAATGTTCTAAATTTTAAATGTAGTCCCATTGTAATGTAACATGTAAATTATTCGAAGAGCACTAGGCCGAATTGGCAAATGAAGCTTATAAATTCTTGTAGAAAACAATGAGGTTTACAAACATACATTTGAATACTTCACCTAAGAAATTATATGCATGACAAAATTGTGAAGATTTTAAAGCTAGGCCAGTTTTACACATTCTTGAACTATGCGTGATTTTTGAATTATAGAAATAATTGATGATCTATTTGTAAAAATGAAATAGTTCTCCCTATAAAGACGGACAGCCTGCAATAAACTTTGATTATCCAAGTAAAATCTTTTCAATATTACCTTTATCCAAGAGAAAAGTAATACGAAAAGTACACCAACCGAACGATATCATAAATTCTTCCTGAATGTTTCCTCAAGCTTGAAGATGATCAACTGTGAAGAGTTTGTTCATACAGTAAGGACCCGATGTTGCCAGCCTCCCTTTTGAAAATCTTGTCTTATGTTTTACGAGAAACCCATGCGCCTTTTCAGTGGTCTTATTTCACCAAAGAGTACCTTGAACATCGATCTTTAAGATGAATGAGAAACATTTGAAATTGCGGTTTATGTTAAATTATTTAAAAAAAAAAATAACAGCCTGATGCGCGGAGAGGCTGACCTAATCGAATCATTACATTTGTAAATTCCTTCACCGACCACTTTGTTTGTGATTTCTGCATTTCGTTGTCCAATTTATGAATCTTTGTTAGACCTTCAATCCCAGAAACCTAATGATTCGAGACCTTCAAACGACTGGCTGAGTCATTAAAAAACGGCTTGCCCTCATTCAACGTTTTATTCACATGCTTCATCATAGAAGACGATTAACTACCAAACCTTCGACAGAATGGGTCACGTCCAACGTCTTTGATGACAGTCTCGAGTACAAAGAGTACATTCAGAGCTACGGCCTCCAATTTCATTTTCCGAACAACGCTAGGAGAAGTTCATGTCTTAGGTCTTATCTAATGATTTTGAAAATTAAGATCTTCGTTTCAAGATTCATTAAGTTTCTTAACGATGATTGATATTTTTATAAACCCCCCCCCCCCTCCCCCACCCCAAACACCCACCTGCAATAACCGTATCGCTCAGGTTGAACTTCCCGGCCGCCTTGGGAAAATCCTTCAGCTTCCGACCGCTCAGCTTCAGCTCGCCGCTGAGATTCGCATCCTCCAGGATGCGTTCCAGCGACCGAGTCAGCTGGCTCTGCAAATGTCCACCACCACCACCACCACCAGCACCGTTCATGGTGCTGTTGCTGTTGCCGCGGTTACCACCACCGGTGCTCCCGGCCGACCCGCCGGACAGTATCGAACCAGACGACGAGAAGAACTGACCGGAAGCCTTCACACAAGCCACAGCCATATTTTAGGGACTCATCGGGGATGAATGCGCTGAGTTTCTTCGTGCTCCTTGGGCGACAGACGACAAGTGGATCGATTTCGAAGCACACCACCAAGAGAGCGTAGATTGCCCTTCAAGCCGTGGAACCGTGAAAGGTCGGATTTTTGGTTTTCGCTTGTTTTATGCACCGCACCTTCAGCACACTCTCTCTCTCGCTAGGAGCAGCCGGGAGTCGTCCGACGCAAAGGGGCCAGGAATCGCCCCAAAATTCTTCACTCACACACTTGCACCCACACACTTCCCGAACGAACCTGAGAGCAGCTCACAAAAGCGACTATTCTTTGCGGGCGAAAAACGGAATTTCACGCTCGTGTTTCAAATTTTCGACACAAGTTTCACTCACTTGACTCTTCCACTGCGATCAATATTCTACCCGTAAAAACCTCTTCGCATTGCTTAATTTAAAAATTGATAAAATTCAAATTCACTTTTTTTTTCTAGCTTTCCGACTCCCTTCTGTTGGGTTGGTAGTGAATAGCACACGCTCACACACTCACACACGCAGCACCGCTTGCTTCTGTGCCCTTTTGACTCGATAGAACACACTCTGCCTGCGGGGGAAAATATTATTGAAGTTCGCTGCCAAATTCGATTTCCGAGTCGTACGGTACGAAATTTTCTCCCTGATGTCTGTTAAAAACTTGTATATTCACTGCTTACGCACTATTGGATATTACTGGAGTAAATAGAACACTAACTGTTAAAAGGAGTTCTATATGAAGTAGCGAATCAAACGACACTCGCTGCCTCAATCAACGCACCACGACGACTCTCAACGGACTGTCTGCTGCTCGGTCGGTCGGTAAACGGTTCGGCTCGGTTGGAGTTTGGTTGGTTGCTGCTTGCATGACGAGCGAGAGCGAACGTTTGCTGATACAATTGATATGCTTGTGCTAGAATGAGATGGAGAAGCTTTTGTTGCCTTTTCTGTTGTTTTGTTTATCCGCGGTTTTGCTGTTTGACGCGGGTTTGACGTTTTATTTTAATGTTGCGATACCCCAGTGCGGAGAAGATGGACGTGCATAGATAACTCGGGCATGCAAGAGGAAATTATCAATTGGTCGTCAGATAACAAATACTTCGCACCACGATGCCATATACACACTGATAAATTAAACTATTCCTTTTTTTTTTTTTTTTTTTTTCTTTATTATAGAGATTTTTAGCCTGAGGCTAGTTCATCTCTTATTAAACTATTCCCATTTTGTTTGAAATTTAATCAATTTGACATTAAACTCAGTTTAATCATATCGAATGATTAAAAATTAATCCTCTCTTTCTAAAAAATAAGCATCTGATATTAATCCAAGTTTAATCATGGTTGATTAGATTGTAGATTATCTGTTTTTGAATAAATTTTAAACATTTTTGATTCTATTTAAATAATTTTTGATTTAATTTTAATTTTTTTTGATTATATTTCAGTATTGAAAAAGAATAAGATTTAATACTGGAAAGATTATTTCGATTTTAATCATGCATGAATACTGCCGAAGTAATCATGGCTCGGAATCAATAAGGTGAAGCGGGAATCTGCATACTTTTTAAGCTTTTTTGATTTAATTTATCTTTGAGTGTACAGACTTCTGTAGCATCCCTATGCGTTCTTCTCATTTGTCTATCATTTCAACCATTCGTTTAAAACATGCACACCCAAAATTAATGTACGAGTCATAAATTCAGCAACGAGGTCGCTTGACACTCTTTCCTTATTATGACACCCTTTTCTAATTTACATAATTATACCAAACAGTATGCGCGCTTTGCCTATGAACTGTTCTTTACCTTTCGCATGGGTATAGCCTGGGGGCAAGACAGCTTTTGATCATGAGTAAAATTTGAGGTAATTTTGAGCAACTCTGAGTAACTCGAGTTGCTCAACATGCGATGCACGGCAACACAGCAACTTTGTTGTGTTCATTCCCCAACTGTCAAAGAAAGACGTTCAACGGTGATAAATATTTCTAAATTATGCAGCTTCCCATTGTCGAAAGGTGAATCCTGATGAATGTGGGCGTCGTAGTGGAATAGCTGTATAAATAAAGAGAGAAAATGGTGGTTTATACTGGATAACCATCCATAGATAGATGCTATGACCTTTCTACTGCTTCATGCCAATCCTTTATTAGCCGTTTTCATCCGAGTATAATGCAGGCGGTTATTGGTCAACGTTGACGATAGCATTTGCAGGTTCAAAATATGATAAATTTTCCGAAGTTCATTTGGTTAAATTAACCACAGATTGAATCTTCGAAAGACATCAAAGTAACGACTACTACTTTGTAATAGTATTCTCTGACTTTTGTCTAAATGCCCACGAATTAATGCAGAACTTTGATGCAGTAACCTCATTGTTCTGCAATAATACTTGGGCATTCAGAGCAGTCTAGAAAAATAATGCTGGTTGTCATGATTTTCAGAAAGAAATAACTATAGGCATTTTTATTTGCCACTAAGTTCAACCCAAGATTAATAGAAAAGCAATACATTGTCATCGTATATAAATTTTATGTTTCCATAAAACCAAATAAAGCTCCCATCCATCTTGAGTTCTCAACTTATTCATTCTTAATTAAAATGATGCAATTTGCAATTGTAGACATGCAGAACCTCAGATTTGCCAAGCACATGAAGGCCTCATAAAGCACGTCTTGCCGGGTGATGTGGATACATTTTTCATGTCAGGCCATCTTCGGATATGGCATTCCTTCAACGGAAAGTTATTAGAATTTGCTTAGATTTAATGCTGTGAAATTTAATTAAATTTATAAAATAATTCAGATTCTTCTTCTCCTCTAACACATAATGTTTATTCACACTGTGATTTGTATTTGTTGATGTATATAAGGCCAGACTACTTTGATCATTGTTGAGTAATTATGAGTTACTCAAATTTACTCGGAGCAAAAATATTAACTTTGATTACAGCTGGCTTGCCCCTAGGGTATAGCTTTGCTTACGCAGCGTTACACATGTTGCCGTACGATACACATCTGGTTGACATTAACTTATTTTTCAAACATCGTTGGAGGCTTGAGCTTGGGTCAAATAATAACAAGGAAAATGTAAGTTAGATGGTAAGCCAGAATACAACTATTCATACATTCGTAAATGACAATCCAACGTGTTAAGTACGAATCCGAAAATGCCCGTCTCGGTACTCGTCGGCATACATGTCATTCTTCTGTACACGAAAAAAGTGGTCACCGCTTTTTAGTTTTATCCAAAAAAATTCAAATGAAGTATTTTGTGAAGCTACAGTTAATGCAATAACAAGTTAATTTTTTTTTTTTTTTCATTTTGTTTATTTGGCAGGCTCAAATGTTAAAAGAATAACTTAGCGGAGCCGAGTAACATGGAATACCAATTTTGGTACTCAAAATACAAACAAAAGATATACAAATGCATATTATTAAAGGATTTTCCTGGGTGGCGATCGAAGCGGCGACAAAGCGATCTTCTCCCGTGCACGCAACTTCTTTCTTTCCCGAATTTGTTCCTCATTTTCGTTGAACCCGAAACGTGATCGCTGCTGCTGCATCTGAACATCGTTTCCCGTTGCATGCTCTCCGCTACTCTCGTCGGTCGTCGGGGTCGTCTCGTCCATTTCGTTATCTTCATTCAACATCTCCAACCCCGTGTCCGTTTCCTGGTCGCTAATGACAAACGACGCACCTTCCATCACTACACCAGCATACGTACTGCTGCTGTTTTGTTTTCTTTCACCTTGCTTTCCTTTTTCCTTTAGTTGTTTCTCCGGTTCCTTCCGAGCCTTCCGCTTGGGACACGAAAGCTTCCGGTGTCCGTCCGCCTTGCACAGAAAACATTTATCTTTGTTGCCATCATAAAATATATTTCCTTTGCGGTTGAAGAAATACAATGACGTGGGGATTTCCTTCTTCACATCCATATATATACCGCGTATCCCTGTATAAACCTCAAAGCACAGATCAGATGGAAATTTCTCCCGGATGATGCGTTTAATTTTTCCATATTTCCCCAGCACTTTATCCAGCTCGTTGTCCGGTACCTCTGGTGGCAAGTCATACACACGCACATACTGGATAAATTCACCAGCATGCGACATGCGTACCTTTGCCGTCGTTCCATTCGCATAATGGAAGATTAAATCCTCCGAATTGTATGTCAGAGCATGGAGCATCGCTTCCTCTGATTTGAACTTTATGAAGACTCCCCTTTCCTCACCAATGCGATAAACAGCTTCCATTTCAGCCGGATCCGCGTCGAGTGCTTTGGCGAAATTTACAATCTCTCCAATGTTTGGTTTAGCATCATGGTGGCTGAAGCTAAACTTGATGGTGTTTTTTACTTCACACATCTTGCACCGTAGCAACAAAAGGCACCGAACTGCTAGTAACGAACAAAGAGCAACTATATAATAGCGAGTCTCAAAAACAGGCTATCGCGTGGTTCACACCGAAATAAAAATTCGACTGCTGCTGTAGACAGCTGTGGGACAACTGAATAACAAGTTAATATATGTAACTATTTTTATATCTAATGAGATTAGAAAAATCGTTATTATAATTAAAGTTACAAGGGTTCAAAAAGGGTTCTGGCATCGTTGCTTCGCACCGAAAAGAATTATTGTGAATAAACTATCATAATATTTCAGCAGCAAAATTTAACTACAAATCAAGGTAATAGTTATTTAAATCTGGAACCGTTGTCTAAATTTTGTATTTCAGGTGTTGTGATAAGAAATTTCTAACTGAATCTGAGATATCTGAAAATATTTAAAAATACCCTTGAGGGCAAGCCAGCTGTACTCCGAGTTAATATGTTTAAATCAAGTAAATTTGAGTTACTTTATATTTACTCAAAAGTGATCAAAGTAGTCCTATGTCAACAAGTGAAAGCAGGTCAACTGTCATCAGTTTGAATAAACATCGACGGCAAGCCAACGAGTAATTGTGATGAGGTTCCGGAACCGATTCCGCAAATGGTTGATGATACTGTTCCTATCCTATATCAGCAAGGCTAGCTATAGTATACCGTCGATTAAAGCGAAATAGAAGTTTGGTGGTGGACTGGTATCCCGACCAACCATTTCGTTAATTTTCTTTAAATTTCTATACATCGATCTTCAAAGCCATTCATAAGAAAAACCGATAGCGATCGTCACCATTTCATGAATAATTGTGAAGATGGTAAAAGTCTAATCGTGAATCGTTTATAAAGATCTTTCTCAAAATATTGCTACCAATCGTTATCAATGTTAAAATATCGATTGTGTTGCCAGATCAAAATATCGATTTATATTGTAAAATCAAAATATCGATACACAACTGCTGATTTTATTTGTGATTTTTCATCTGCATAATTTCTAGTTTCGATCCCGTGCCATCTGGGGTGTACTGATTTCGTTGTTGGTTGCTAATCCTCGGGTCCACGGCTGCTGTTGATGAGCTTATCAACGACAGGCAAACACACTCTAGTCTTCTTCTTCTTGTTCGCATTTCAAGCTTATTGCTTAGCGCATTTAAGCTTATTGCGTGCTCTCAACTTAGTGTTCTAAATGCAATTCCACAGTTATTAATTGAGACCTTTCGATGCCAATACCAATGCATGAATTTGTATATTGTGTGGCAAGCACAACCCTAATAAAAAATAACCATAAACGAACGATAACCCAAATCATTGAACTATTCCACAAATGGTTTGGATGATACCCAGAACACGTCGTTAAGCAAATTAACCATACAATTTTTATTAGGGAATGATACTCTATGCCCAGGGAAGT